GCAACAATACAGTTAGCCCACGGTTCAATACATACCTCAGTTTTTAATCACGGTTTTCAGTTTGGTTTGGTTCTGATGGCAAAATTTTGGGAAAAAAATAAAAGTAAATAAATAACCAACTCCTGCACACTTCTGTACACTGGAGAAAAACATGGATTATCATGCAAGGCTGCCCTCGCACAGAAACGCCACATATGCATCACAGAATAAAAGAACTTATGAAGCTCCAGGCGTATTGAACCGTCAATATTATATTGAGAATTGTGGCATCCCTAATGGCTACCGTCAACTGTTTGATTACCAAAATTCTTCAAAATATTTTCTTTTGTACTCAACAGAAGAAAAAAATGCATACAGATTTGGAACAACTTAAGAGTGAGTAAATAAAGACAGAATTGTCATTTTATGGGAGAACTATCCCTTTAATCATTTATTTTACCCATGTTGAATAAGCAGGGGGTAATAGCTGCTTCACGACCAATTTGAAAGTTCGGTGCTACTGCCACTAGAGGGGCGGTTGAGGTATTTCTGGTTTTAGTGCATTTAAACCATTATGAAGAAACACTTACATTTCATAGATGCGGATGTTGGCTGGAATGGCACTGATGAAACCAACTAGCTTATGATTAGAGTTCACTCTCACTCCACAATGCCACTGAGGCAACCAGCCTGGAGGACGCAGAGCCCTGAGACAAAAACAGAGTACAGCTAAACTGAGAGACGAGGACACATTTCAGTTAACTTTTAGAAAAAAATAAAAATACAGATAGCCCTTCAGATACAAGACCAAAAAAAAAAAAACCACTTGACTTTTCAAGCCAACATTCTTACCAGAGCAGAAATTCAGGAGAGTAATCAAAACGAAACATGTTGTCATCATCCTCCACATAGTTCTCGTTCAGGAGAGTGTACAACTCTTTCAGCTTCAGAGAGAGAATGAGAGGAAACAGAAAACAGCTTTAAGACCGAGTTGTGTCCAGGTGTATATTTGTATGTATAAGATATTGAAAGAGAAATTTAGTGGTTCGTATGTCATACCACTGCAGTGTTTCCCAGATCGAGAGTGTCCCAGCTGAAGCCCTGCGGGAGGCTGTAGGGCTCCTCTCGTATGTTATCTTTATCCTCCTCAATGCGGCCATGTGATACCACAGTCTCTCCTACAAACAAGCAAACAGCAGAATCAGACTTCTGTCATCAGGCAATTCACCAAAAACCTCAGTTTCACACAGTATCATCAGTCTACACTGTACCACAAGTCATGAGTCTCAAGAAAACAGATGTTGTACTGCTAAAAAACGGCATTACTAAAAAGAAACAAGTGATGTCAGGCCAAGGAATAAGTATAAAAATGAAAGCAAATTACTTTTAATATTGGATTTAAAAAAACGTGCTGCGAGTATAGTGGCACAAATGATCAATACCAAGTTTAGGAACAGGCTGAGTGTCCCAGAACTGATAACTGCGCCGTGTGGCCTCCTCCATGGTTTTAGCTGGACCCTGTCCCACTGAAAACAGCTCAATGGCCTTCTGGATCTCCTGTAACTTATCCGCAGGGAGGGAGTTTACCTGAGGAAGAGACTAAGACAAGTGAAAATGGGAAAAAATGAATTAAACACTTACAAAAATACTCTGGCAATGCCATGGTGCCATATTATCAGTAGTAATTAATACTTCAAAGGACACCATGGCATTCAAAATATTTCCTGCACTAAAATATAGGTATAATTACAAATATTTTAACTGTACATGAGTACACAACGACTTTGGGACAGCCCTTGTAAAGAATTTTATTTTCTTATACTTAAGTAGTCATGTATCAATATTACATTTCAGGCTGATACTGCTAAAGCTGAAATACAAGGCGGCAAAGGTAATCTAGATGTAAACAATCTTGTGTTAAACACACAAAGCCATACAAGCATACTCACTTTGGCTAGCGAATCCTGTGCTGCATCTTTTCCTCCAGACTTGTCTTTGTTCTTTTTCTTCTGTTTCTTTTTCTTCTTCTTGGCACCTGTCTCCCCCTTCTCCCTGCGGGCCACATGAACTCAGTTGACATGGGCAGATATAGTGAGAGTTTATGTCCACTCAGCACTAACCGCGGCTGATGCAGGTGAAAAGGCAACATCTCAATAGAAACATCACTGTTCCTGATGCAATCAGCAGTATTTTAGGATGACAACCCCTCACTAGTGTACAACAAATCTTATATGCTGGATTTGATTTTGATATTTCTAATATATAAACAGGAATTTCCACAGAACAAAGAGAGTTATAAGGACAGTTCACCCAAAAATGGACTTAATGCCATCTTTCACATGCTGTTTTAAAAATTTAAATAAAAGAAGATATTTTGATAGATATTTGGAAGAAAATATTTAGAGATTTTAATGAAGCGGAATCTGAGCTTAAAAGGAAACAATAAAAAGAAGGGGAAAAAAAGAAGATAAACCTAACATAAAACACTAATGTCTCTCCATCCTAGCATGCAATTCAACTCATGATTAAACTACACAGACACAAGAGCCGAGCCCCACACCAGTGGTCAAGCTGGAACGGGACGACTTACAGAGATGCACAGCTAATCCTATTAATGCTCACGAAGGGAGAGAGGTGACAGAGCTGAGCTACATTTGTTAATGGGAGACAGATGGTCTATCACGTCATGACCTGCAGAAAAAGCATGCTTTGTGTGTGTGAGGGGAGGTGGGCTATATGACAAAGACTGACGGATAAACAAGCACCCCTGTGACTATTGCTTTGACAGCCATCTATCCCTAAAAAAGAGGGGCTTCTCTTCTTTTACTCTATACTGCTTCAATAAATATAAGCTGCAATGGAGGATGTCCTCTTAAAGGGGTGGCTGTTCAGCTTTTTTCGAAGGCTTCATTGTGTTTATGGGGTGCAGTGTAACATGTGTTCATGCTT